ATATTTGGGGTCACAAGTTTTTGCCATGAACATTTCGTGGGTCAGATGATAAAAGGTTTGGGAACCACTGATCTACAGTGTCAAGAGATGGACATAAACCTGTTATTTACTACAATATTTGACTTAAATGCATTGCAGCTCTAGTCTAGTCTAGTGCAGTTGAGTTGGAAAGCTTAGTTATTTGTACCTTTGTTAATACCTTAAACTTTGTTTTACTAGAGGAGAAATATAAAAGTCTAGTCGGTCAGACAGCAAACGTAAGCTAAACATTTTACAATTAAAAATGTCGGACACTATGTTAAGAAATACTATCATTTTTTAAAGTTTTAAACAACGTAAGTATCTCAAAATTGCAGAAAAACAAACCAACATGATTAGCCTATTAGCTAAATTTAGCTAAAGCTAACAGGATGACAGAAACACAGCACTCCTGCTTTGTTATTTTGTTTCAAGACAACAAAAACATTCAAACACAAATTTCTTTTTCAAACATTTTAACAAATTATTCATGATGTAAATAACAATTCTCAGTTCAATGACAGCTAGATAACGTAACCCCACAACAAAATAAGCTAGTCAGTTAAATTAAGGGCAAAAACCTTATGTAAATAAGCTGCTACAAGTTTAGTATTTCATAATGTTACTCACCTTCACACGCAGATCCTTTTCTTTAGACTGGGTTGTATGTCGCGTTACAATGTATTGTTGTCACTTTATTAATGCCTCTTCCTAATCCGACAGTCTTCTTTTCCGGGTTTTGACACGCTACTTCCGGTGGCCGAGTTGATTATAAAGTAGCGCCCCTTGTGGTGGGCCGTAGTAATTACTTATCTGTCTTTTTTATTGAGTTGATTTGCTACTTTTACAATTAGACAAAAAGACTATTAATATGGCAGAATTTTATTTTAGTTGTACAAAATATTCTGATTTACTAGGTTGCATATTTTCTGTATTTTTCAAGGGTGTTATTTTATTGGCTTCGGTTGTAAATTGTTCATAAAATTATCCCAGACTTTAGGACTGATTTATTCCTAGTTGTGGAAATAAATAAATGAAAAAATAAACAGAGTTTATAGTTATTTATAGTACCAAAACAGATCTGATCAGTTCCAAACTTCTGTTTTATCAAAACAGATCTGTCAAAAGTCTGTGTGAAAAGTGCAAACACCTTTTTTGTCATTATTAAAGTGAGTTTGAGGATGATTTTCATATATATATA